CAAAAATTGTCACCCCTAATCTGGAACAAGATATGCTCCACCGAGGCGTTGAGTGGCGTTAAAGCTTGCCGCTCTCTCATAGGTGGGAGACCAAGGTAGTCAGAGACTATGTCCTATTCTTCTTATTCTCTGCTTCTCTCATGTCTTTGTGGGTATCCTTTCTTTTCTCACCCCCGCGGGAGGTAGGCCTGGCAATCGTGTCAAGTGGAGCGGTTTCATGTTGGGTGGAACGGGTTTGTGTCAAAAAATTCTCCATCCATACTCAATGCGTTTATATAAACGAGTCAAACTATCACACTCATACATGAATCATTTATTAGACGAGTTACCTGAAACAACCCGCGTGTCACTCGCTAAATAAGAGAATAGATTAGAGTATTTCGAATACACGCAAAAAATCAACTTGCTACATATTACATNACAACCCGCGTGTCACTCGCTAAATAAGAGAATAGATTAGAGTATTTCGAATACACACAAAAAATCAATTTGCTACATATTACACATGTTTGACTTGTTTATTATAATAATAAATCATGATTGAGCAAAAAAATAAAGACAAAATAAATATTAAATGACTACTAAATTTGAATGAGTCTAAGAGATGGGAAGTGTAAGATGAGGCAGAGGCTAAATGAACTAATTTTTTTTTTAAAAATTTATAGTACAACTGTTAACGGGTTAAACGGGTTGAAACAAGTTTATGGGTTAAATATAAAATCAGTTCATTTATTTCACAGGTCTACCGAATTAACCCGTTAACCACCCAAACTCGTTAAGACTAGACCAAAACCCGTTAAATCCATGTCGGGTTCGTATCGGTTCCACAAGTCGTGTCTAGAATTGCCAAACCTAGCGGATAAACTAACCTTGTCAAGCTTTGGTAACGTCCTCGGCATTGATATACTTTTGTGCCTTTGACAGCAGCTCGGCCATGCTGGAGGGCCGGTTCTTTAAGATAGAGAACATAAAACTGGAGGAGTGCGAACCTGCATTGAAGGCGTCTATGGATACCTTATTGTCTAACTCCTCGATCTAGAGAGCCTCCTAGTTGAAACGAGTGAAATAGTCCCTAAAGCTTTCGTCCCGATCCTGCTTGATGGTGAGTAAGTGGGTAACCAGCTTTTGATGTCAGTGTCCCCCAATGAAGTGGGAGATGAAAGACTTGCTCGGTTCCATGAAGGAATGGATAAAGGAAGGTTTTATCTATGCGAACCATTGTCGAGCATACCCTTTCAAGGTGGTAGGGAAGGCTCTATACATTATCTCATCAGGCGCGTTGTGGAGCTGTATGAGAGACTTATAGGTGTCAAGGTAATCCAGAGGGTCCTTGGTGCCATTGAAAATCTCAATAGCGGACATCTAGAACTTCGAGGGTAAGGGATAATTGACAATATTTGCAACAAAAGGGATTTCAGTTCGCCTTACCAAGTAATCCACCGTCTCTAGCGCTTGTGCTTTGGTGGCGTTGAGGGCATCGCCAAGTTGGTCCTCCACCTCCTTGATCTTCTCATCCTATTGGTTAGGAACATGCTCTGTCGNAGAGTTCAATGGGAACATAAATTAATTTTAGTATCCATGTTCACCTTATCCTGTTACAGATCAACATCGAGATCCCGAGAGTCCTGGAAAGAGAATACCAAAAAGTCCACTCAAAAGATGAGTAAAGTTTGGCATGGCTTAGCAAGGGTTTGATGATACCATCAAACCCGAGCCTTTTCACTGGCTTTTCAGATTTGTGAAATAGCAATTAGTAACCAATAACAAAACCTGTATACATGAGTAATTATCTCAAGCTAGAGGCCATACTATATGCAATAACAATTTCAAGTTGCTCTGTTTCGCTGGTCGCCAAGAGAGATCGCCAAAAATATACGCCAAGATAAAAAACAACGCCAAGAGGAAGAGACAGAGAAAGAGAAAGAGCGAGAGAGAGAACTAACCTGGTCTGGTCCGCTGGTCGCCAAGAGAGATTAACCGGAGTCTGGACAGAGAGAATGAGGGAAAGAAACCGACTGGACAGAGGGAAGGAAGGAGGCGGCTGGACAGAGGGAAGGAAAAAATGAAGTTAGGGTTTGAAAAAAACAATTAAATGCTTTATATAGTGATGGGTCAATTCTGGATCCAAACAGGTCAGCGAGTTCGTGTCAACCCGATTAAATATACGGGTCAATTTGAGTAAATTCGGGTTAAGCGGGTTGAACCCAAACACGACCCATAAAAATTTCGTGTTGACGGGTCATATCAAAAAATTAGTCAACTCAAACCCATTTATTCGTATCGTGTTTCGTATCGGGTTATCGTGTCGTATCAAAAATTGTCACCCCTAATCTGGAACAAGATATGCTCCACCGAGGCGTTGAGTGGCGTTAAAGCTTGCCGCTCTCTCATAGGTGGGAGACCAAGGTAGTCAGAGACTATGTCCTATTCTTCTTATTCTCTGCTTCTCTCATGTCTTTGTGGGTATCCTTTCTTTTCTCACCCCCGCGGGAGGTAGGCCTGGCAATCGTGTCAAGTGGAGCGGTTTCATGTTGGGTGGAACGGGTTTGTGTCAAAAAATTCTCCATCCATACTCAATGCGTTTATATAAACGAGTCAAACTATCACACTCATACATGAATCATTTATTAGACGAGTTACCTGAAACAACCCGCGTGTCACTCGCTAAATAAGAGAATAGATTAGAGTATTTCGAATACACGCAAAAAATCAACTTGCTACATATTACACATGTTTGACTTGTTTATTATAATAATAAATCATGATTGAGCAAAAAAATAAAGACAAAATAAATATTAAATGACTACTAAATTTGAATGAGTCTAAGAGATGGGAAGTGTAAGATGAGGCAGAGGCTAAATGAACTAATTTTTTTTTTAAAAATTTATAGTACAACTGTTAACGGGTTAAACGGGTTGAAACAAGTTTATGGGTTAAATATAAAATCAGTTCATTTATTTCACAGGTCTACCGAATTAACCCGTTAACCACCCAAACTCGTTAAGACTAGACCAAAACCCGTTAAATCCATGTCGGGTTCGTATCGGTTCCACAAGTCGTGTCTAGAATTGCCAAACCTAGCGGATAAACTAACCTTGTCAAGCTTTGGTAACGTCCTCGGCATTGATATACTTTTGTGCCTTTGACAGCAGCTCGGCCATGCTGGAGGGCCGGTTCTTTAAGATAGAGAACATAAAACTGGAGGAGTGCGAACCTGCATTGAAGGCGTCTATGGATACCTTATTGTCTAACTCCTCGATCTAGAGAGCCTCCTAGTTGAAACGAGTGAAATAGTCCCTAAAGCTTTCGTCCCGATCCTGCTTGATGGTGAGTAAGTGGGTAACCAGCTTTTGATGTCAGTGTCCCCCAATGAAGTGGGAGATGAAAGACTTGCTCGGTTCCATGAAGGAATGGATAAAGGAAGGTTTTATCTATGCGAACCATTGTCGAGCATACCCTTTCAAGGTGGTAGGGAAGGCTCTATACATTATCTCATCAGGCGCGTTGTGGAGCTGTATGAGAGACTTATAGGTGTCAAGGTAATCCAGAGGGTCCTTGGTGCCATTGAAAATCTCAATAGCGGACATCTAGAACTTCGAGGGTAAGGGATAATTGACAATATTTGCAACAAAAGGGATTTCAGTTCGCCTTACCAAGTAATCCACCGTCTCTAGCGCTTGTGCTTTGGTGGCGTTGAGGGCATCGCCAAGTTGGTCCTCCACCTCCTTGATCTTCTCATCCTATTGGTTAGGAACATGCTCTGTCGGATCATTGTAGTAGCTCTCGTGATCTCCAGACTGGTTTTCCCCCTCATCCTTCTGCTCGAGATGGTCAGTTGTGTATGGTGCAGGTACATGCGGAGGAGGAGCATGTGTGGCGACTGTGCATAGTGGAGGGACTCCTCGGCGAAAGGCGCCCTGGTGCTAACTAGGGGCGCTCTGGTGCTGGGCCCCTCGGAGGGCGCCCTGGCGCCCAAAATGGTGAGACTGTGGCATTTCTCTAATCGGGGGGAGTACCACTCCTACCAGTCGAGGGGCAACACCTCCTGAGGTGAGTATCAGCTGGATTATTTGTTGGTTTTGGCTTACCAACAACTGCATGGTCTCCGAGAGTTGTTGTCTAACCAACGAGGGATGCTACAGTAGATGGTTCTACTGGTACGGGCGAAGGTAGAGCCTCCCCCGGCGAGCTGGGTTGTTGTCTCTTGGTTGTTGATTCATTGATCTAGTCGTGATTACCATGGATTTCAAGAGAGTAACAAGGTAATAGAAAACTTAGTCGTTTTCTACACACGGCGCCAAACTGATGATATACAAAATAGACTTATGCAAGATCAACAGTCAAGCGTGTGATAAAATATAATTAATAGACAATTAATAGAACAATTAATAACAATAATGTAAATATCGGATCAACACACAAATATATAATGATTCAGTCCGAGTGACATACTCTACTCCAAAAAAACGACAACGGCGGTCTAAGAGTCTTTATTGATGAAGTAAGGTAAATAAGAGAGAGCAATAGTTAGCTCCGGGAGATGTACAATAGTTAGAAGAAAGAAAAGTCATGTATGTGTTGTGAGGGGTAAAGGTAGAGTTCCATGTGTCCTTTCATATAGAGAGAACTTATAATTTATACGCACATGGTCTTAATTAAGGCGGTGACGTAAGAGCAAAGGTACTAATTATCCGAGTGACTACAAAAGGTAAGTGCCATTAAAAGTAGTTTTGATCTTCGAGAGTCAGTATCCTGATAATTACTTCTCATGTCCTCTAATCTTCTTGGACCCCTTAGACCTTGGGCTGAGTCGAATTGCCGAAGTGGGCTTGACATGCTTTGTGGCTGATTTGGGCTCCATTGGCCAGACCCAATAAGAATTGGGCTTGTCACATTCTACTCTTAAACCCCAAACCCTGAAATATAAAACACTCCTTGGCTCCTTAAAGATTAAGGAAGAGAAAAAAAAAAAAACAAATTTTACACTTCAATTTCATTGTCTATGACCTCAAAAACAGAATAAGGTACACCGTACACCATTCAAACTGTTTTTCACTAAAAATTTTCTTTTCCTTTTCGTCTCTTTCTACTACCAAAACGGAAAATAAAGGTGGGATTTTGAGATAAGGGTTTGATGTACCTTCGAGAGATCCAGCGAGTTTGAGGGCGTGCTTGGCGACGGAGATGACTTCGGGACCAATTCCATCGCCGGGAAGTAGAGTGATGTTGTAGCTTTTTGTGGGAGGGGTGGCGGAGCAGCGAATTTTAGCTGGTCTACTGACATGGTCGATGATGGATTTGGCTCGCAAGTGTTGGACCTGGGGTGTAAAGGGTCTTAAGTTGATTTGCAGTGCCGCCATTATTGCCAGTGAAGAACAGAAACGGCATGGCAGCTTTATTAGGGGTCATTTGGGACAGAAATAAGCTCATTTTGATTTTTAATACCCAAAATACCCTCAATAATTATATTTATATCTACATATATATTTATATTCATTTTACTTATAAATATCAGTAACAACAAAAATAATTTAATTTCTTATTTTTTCTCTAATTATTATAATAAGTTTAATTATACCCTCTTATATATTTTTATTTTTTTACACATAATTAACTTTTAACTTGTTTTAAACTCTTTTATAAAGATTTCTAAACTTTTTTGAATTTATTTATTAGTAATATAGTTATATATAATTATCTATATCTATGTGATTTATAGTCAAATATATATTATATTTTATTTTTTGGTATATAATAAAATAATAATATTATAAGACCGATCTAATCAATCTATTTAACAAAATAAAAATTATTATTTATACAATCTATACTACTAATAAAAGTACCTTAACAATACAAACTTTTGATTCACTATTTTACCCTCATAAAAAAATAAAAAGACTAATTTATCCTTCCATACTTAATATCTAAATTATCATCATATATTTTTTGTATTTTAATCTCTAAATTACATCTAATATCAGTTTTAATTTTCTATTTTCTACGTATAAATATAAATTTTTATGAAACTTTTTGCTTGACTATATTACTCTTAAAAAATATGTGCATCATTATAAGTTAATAAAATATTCAAAAAAACCTTTAAAAACTTCATCAATCTATTATTATTCATCTCATTTATAAAGATAGCATTATAACTACATATGTATATTTTATTTTTCATCAAAATGTTTAATCTTTTAATTTTTAAGATAATGTAGTACTCGAAAAACTTCAAGACACGTGTCTTTATCATAACAGAACAAGTGACAACAATTATCCGTTTATATGGAAATGACGTCCGACAGAATTTAGATAGACTGGTATAGATAACAGTGACAAATGCGACACCCCTTGGCGCGACGCCCTCAAGCACAATACCGTATAAGGGCAAGATACATCTCCATCGCATTGGAAGTGGCAAAATAGACATTTCACCACGGTTGGACAGAAATGGAATCGTAGAAATGTGGGGGCAACCTCGGCAAGACTCGTCTCCCCCACTACGGGAATGGTATCCTTAACCTATTGAATGTCGTTGCTCGATTGGCCTACTGGACTAAGAGGTGTCCCCACCTAGGGACAGAGGAGTATGGCCCTCCTCAAGGGAGAATTGAGCAATAGGGGGCAGATGAGTAGGATTGTCAACCTCGACATAGGGATAGGGTTTCAAATGTTTAATATGCTTGAGCAGGCCTCCTAGTGTATGGCTCACTACCCATTGGGATGTGTTTGACTGGGATCCGGAGAAACTCCTAAGGTAACTTGGGTTATTAGCCGGGATCAACATATGGGATGATGGGACATATGGATTGGTGGTTGAAGGACCGAAACTATGTGAGTTTCCTCTATTAGGCACCTCGACAAAGATCTCAAAGAAAAGTCTAGAGAGGGAAAAGACCCCAGGTAGAAACGTACTGGGGGCATCACAAACATGGCCCTCTCAAGGTCATGGTCGTACGGTGACCAGTCGAGGTCATGGACCTTGCACTCTCGCCTTGGTTGTTGCACTTCCTCAAGGCCACGCCCAAGTTGCATTTAGGAAATCATCACATATGCCTAGTTAATGTTGGGATGCATGGCTCGTGTTAACGGCCACTAGTATCATCGCAGTTGAGGCGATTGTGAGTTCACATAGGTGATAGAGGGTTGCAGTTGAGGCGATTGTGAGTTCGCACAAGTGATAGGGGGTCGCGGCGGGCAACCCTTTGGGCAACCCGACCTATCTAGGCACTATGCTATAAATGCCTACATTACTTTTCCACTACGGAAGAGGATTTTTTCTAGTNCGCGGCGGGCAACCCTTTGGGCAACCCGACCTATCTAGGCACTATGCTATAAATGCCTACATTACTTGTCCACTACGGAAGAGGATTTTTTCTAGCTGGTGAGAGCATTGTTCACCTACCCTCTGCCCAACTGGTATGTCCCTTCATTAACAGGTTGTTTGAGTTCATTCTATCCTATCCACTTATCCTACTCACCCCCTTCGATTACCCTTGGCATAGACACGTGTGTCAACCTTTTTTAACCCTCCACCTATATTCTTTTGGCAACTCCATTAGGGAGGTTTGTCCTCGCTATCCTATGTCTATTACAACTTGAAGTGGAAGAGTATTGTCTAATACGGTGACCGAAAACAACAACAACAAGGAAGGCAAGCAACAGAAAAGCCCACCCCAGTACGAGGATAGCCATGGTTCCTCTATGAGTTAAAGGGCTTCGGAGTTGCCAAGGCCCTCCACAATAGCGCAGGCTCTGCACGACATGCAAACTCTGCAACAATNACTCCATTAGGGAGGTTTGTCCTCGCTATCCTATGTCTATTACAACTTGAAGTGGAAAAGTATTGTCTAATACGGTGACCGAAAACAACAACAACAAGGAAGGCAAGCAACAGAAAAGCCCACCCCAGTACAAGGATAGCCATGGTTCCTCTATGAGTTGAAGGGCTTCGGAGTTGCCAAGGCCCTCCACAATAGCGCAGGCTCTGCACGACATGCAAACTCTGCAACAACAGATGGCTGCGATAATGCAGATGATTCAAGATCAGATGTATTTTCTGGTCACCTGGCTTGCAAAACCCACCGATGTTCTTGTCATTGCTTCCGTAGTATCTAGTGCTATCAATTTTGACTTTGCCGATATCTCCTCCAATGGCACTGTCAGGCGATAATGGTGCATCATGGAAGTCAAGCCCTTGTGGTTTAACTTTGCAAAACGCTACCAGTGAACCCCCTACCACTTCCGCTGCAAATGGATGCAACTAAACCCCTAGTTCCCTCATAGAAAACTAGCACAAGCAATCCTCTAGCACTTTTGCAACAAACTACTACAACGGGATCTCTAACTCCCCTACAACAAGCAGCTACAATGGGCCCTCAAAATGTCATAACCCCTGAGGTACCCACTATGACTAGACCCATAATCACAACTAGTGCACCTCTCCTAAACTTTCCAATGACTCTCATATGTGAGCATGCTACGACTGGCTACAACTATGACCTCGCAGTTTTCCAAATGGCTCTTCTCACCATCTCTACAACAACATCGACAACTGCCCAAGTGTGGGGTCAAACTATTTTTTCCACTGTCCCCGCAACCATGCCTTCAACATTTTCGGCCCCCATCGCCACCACCTCATTTCCATCAGTAGCCGCTTGGATGTTGTACTCAGTCAACACAGAACAGCCAGTGCCGAGTGCTAGGTTTGTCATGCTGGCCCAAGTACAGGTCTTACTGGATAGACAAAAAGAGTCTATGCCAACAACCATAGACATAAGGTCCAAGTTTACCACCGTTGTGCAGCAAGCTATGTGTCCTGTAGGGTACTCATCGTCAAAGTTCAAGAAGTTTGATGGAAAAAATGGCAACCCCAGGGACCACATTACCTATTATCTTGATAGCCTTGGCCACTATGTGCTCCTTGAGCCTCTTCGGATGAGGGAATTTTCCAAGTCCCTCAAGGACAAAGCCTTCACCTAGTATACTAACCTCCCGACAGAATCGGTGAGGGATTCGGACAACTTGGTCGCACAATTCTACGTAAATTTTTTCCATGTCGAAAGCGTACTATAGTACTTTCCCTGATGAAGACTATTCAGGATGACGGAGAAGCCTTGATGACATACAATGACAAGTTCTGTGACAAAGCCATCGAGTGCCAAGAAAATCTCACCGAAGAGGCCCTTGTCTGAATCTGCATCGACGAAATACCCAACAAATACAAGGCATACTTGGTTAACAGTGGCTTTACAACCTTTACTAGGCTATGCGAATCTGCTCAAAGGCTTTCAGAGGTGGTCCAGCCCTCCTTAAAGATAGCCGATTAGAAGGACAAGAGGAAAGGAGCAACTACTGCAGTTGCTGAAGAGGTCTTGAAGGGGGTCAGCGTCCAAAGAAGCAAATGAGAGCCTCCAAGCCTGAGGAGCCACCTCTATATCCTTGTGGTATAAAGAAAGTCTGACAGATTCTCATGGAATGGATTAAGAACGATAATGTTGAGAGGCCACTAGTGGAAAAGGAGCCAACTAGAGAAGAAAAAAATAGCCTGACTTTCTGTGAATTTCATCGCCGCACCAAATATAACCTTAAGGATTGCTGGACCATGCACCGACTATTTCAAAAGTGCTTAAAGAGTGGAGAGTTGGTACTGACGGGTGTCAAGGGCAATGTCCATGATCTACCCCTCATAGACTACGAAGAAGGTAAGGAGGTGCACATAGTGTCGTTGTATGACGAATCGAGGATATAGCGGAAGGTAACTTCAAAGAGTGCCCTAAAATCTAGTTAAATCAAGAGACCTTAGAAGATTGGCACGATGTGCCAGAGATTGACCCCTATACGAGTGCACATATCTTGAAGGAAATAGTCAAGTTCAAAAAAAAATTTTAATCAGTTGAGACTTATTAATGGTACCAGATTGGCAGCCACCAAGGCCATCATAGACTTGTGCGTTGATCAGCCCTCAGGCCCTGAGAAGTGCATGGCTGCAAAAAGCTCGGTGTCCCACAGTATCAAGGAAAGGTCTAATGCCATCACCTTCACGGAGCGGGATCGCCAAGTACCCTGGAAGCACAATCATCCACTCTACGTCACCACCAAAATCAATGTGGTACATTGAAAATGACTTTTATGGACAATGGGGCCTCAGTCAATGTCATGCCTTTGTCCAGATATGAGCAGCTTGGACTTCGCGAGTCAAGTTTCATCAGAAAAATGACTATCATCGTCGAATTCTCCAGCGACAAGAGAAGGAACCTCGGGTATGTCATTATCTCTTTAGTCATGGGGAAGGTGAGGGTACCCATGACCTTCCATGTGATCGATGCTTCAACGCTCACCTGGATGAATGATCTAG